CACCAACTGCTGCAGCTTCCTGAGCCTGACGAAGGGTTTTTGAACCTGAAAGCTTGCTTAATAACTATTCTCCAACCATTTGGGTTGGTCTAATAAAAGATATCAAATTCACCCAAGGAACCTTGTCTGCCTATATCCTTAGACCAACACGGCTACAACCTAAACCCCTGGTGCTAGCTATTGTAGCACTGCCAAGCCTGTAAGTATGTTGCAAATTATTTTTCCCCAGATAGAACACTTTATATTTCTCAGCGTTAAACATCATCAAGTTTTGATCCGTTCACCTTACAAGCCTGTCCAGGTCAGCATGTCCTCCAGCATGACTGCACTCACCCATGACTTGTCGTCCATGAACTTTGCCAGTACGCTTTTCACACCCGCATCCAAATCATTGATGAATATGTTGAAAAGCACTGGTCTGAGTACTGAACCCTGTGGGACACCACTGGTCACCTTTCACCATGTCGACTTAGTTCTGTCTATTAACATTCTCTGGATCCAACCTTAGAGCCAGTTTCCTAGCAACTGGACCATTAAATTGTTGAGAATGCAAATTCCCAATTTTACCATGAGGACATCGTGGGAGACTAAGTCAAAGACCTTTTTAAAATCCAAGTATATGACACCAACCTCATCTTCCTTATCCAGGTGGTGAGTTACATGATCGTAGAAGGAGATGAGGTTGGTCAGGCATGACCTCCCTGCAACAAAGCCATGTTGACTGTCATTTACAATACTGCCTTCTGTTAGCCTATCACAGATGGATTTTTTTTGATAAATTTTCCCAGGATTTTTCCAGGGATCTGGGTCAGACTGATTGGCTTATAATTTCCTGGGGTCTCTTTCCTTCCTTTCTTGATGATAGGCACCATGGTGGCCCTCTTCCAGTCTTCTGGGACCTCTCCTGAGTGCCATGAGTTCTCAAAAAGTTTTGCCTTTGGTCATGCAATGACATCAGCTAATTTGTTCACACTCTTGGGTGTAATTCAGCCGGTCCTGCTGACTTACAGATATCCAGCCTCTCTAGATATTCCCTCACAAGTTCATTGCTGATTGTAGGTGAGTGATCACCCTCTCATTGTGCATCCTGTCAGACAAGCTAACACCCTGGCAGAATACCAACGCAGAGTATTCAGTTAGGAGTTCGGTTTTCTCTTGAGTGTTGGTTATCAGCGGTCCCATTGCATTCAGCAGCAGTCTTATGTTTCCCTTATTTTTTTTCTCCTGCTTCCTACATATCTAAAGAAGAACTTTTTATTGTCCTTGATTTCTGTGGCCAGTTTGAATTCTGTTCCTGCCTTTGCTTTTCTAATCCGCTCCCTACACATACAGGCCGTTCCTGTGTACTCCTCCTTGGAGGTAATTCCCAGCTTCCATCTTTTATTAACTTCTCTTTTCATTCTCAGGAGGTCCATGAGCTCCCTATTGAGCCAAGGGGGTCTCCCAGCCCTTTTGCTACCTTATAAAGAAAAAAACATCCTTTGTGCTCCAAGTATCATATCCTTAAGGAATGACTGCTCTTCTTGGACCCCCTTCCTCATCAGACCGTCATCCCGCAGGGCCTTACCCACCAATCTCCTAAGCTTGTAGAAGTCAGTTTTCCTAAAATCAAGGATTTCTACCCTACTGACTGATTTCCCTGCCTTATGATGGATGGTGAAAGTGATCGTCCCATGGGGACGATCTAGTGACTAACCAGAGGATTAAGAGTAATCTAGGCAACAGTGATCTACCCATTTTATAACATCATGAAACAATACTTCCCCACTCAGTGGTGGAGTATCTAAAACTATTTGAATTGGTATGCTTTCACCTTTACATTTTGAATCTTCTTTCTCGGTTGTGTCAAGGACAGCTGTAGGAGGGGAAGTCCTTGGAAGTATGATGTCTGCTTTAGGAATCAATGGCACTGTCTTTGCTTATCTTGTGGACATTGTGGATCTTTCATACATTTTAGATCTGACAGGAATCATGGCCTCACTGTTGTTTTAACAGTAGAATGAGTAAAAACTCTCCTAGGCAAAGTAATTCCTACAGAGGAGAGCATGGGGCCCTACCTCTGGTGATGAATGCTATTCTTGCTTTAGTTCTCTAGAGTCTATTAAAACACACTCTTTATTTTCTCTTGTCTCCAGGCTATGATTGTCTCAGAAAACTTGGGAATCCAAAAACAGGATTTGTATTCATGGTTTCAGGGTGTTAGTTTTCCTTGAGTCACTCAATACTACTCTTCAAAATAAACACATTTTTGTTCTTCAGTCTCAGAGACATAAATAAATGAAGTAGCTAATTTAAATTGCAGTGTCTGTCACTTTGCTATAAGATTGGAAGACAAAACAATTCTGATTATGAACTTGAGTATTTTTCCAGGTTTTTTTTTCTGGTATAGCAGTCAGGCAAGTTGCAAGTCCTCCAGTAAAAGCCCATACTAATGCAAAGCTGTAGTTGTGACCTCAGCTCTACTAAGTCAGAATAATTGCCAAAATGCCTGAAATATGACAGTCAGATGTGGCAATTAGGTCATAAAATTGATATAAAATTATGAGACTGCTGTTAAGATTTGGAGTGGAGTATTGCTATTAGAGGCCTGGGAGACATTTATGAGGACAGGTTGAAAGACCTAGGATTCTTTAGCCTGGAGAAGAAAAGATGGGGGTGGGGAATTTGATGAGTCTTAAAATACCTGAAGAGTGGTGATATGGTAGATGAAAATAGACTCCCTTCTATGGCTGCAGGGGACTAGACAAGGAGTAATGGCCTCAAATTGCATTAAGGGAAATTAAAGTTTGATATTAGGAAGCGTTTTCTCCTTTTGAGAGAGTTAGTTTTGGAACAGGTTATGCAGAAAGGTTGTGGAATCAAAACATACTCTTTTAGTGAGCGTATGCTAGTTACATTGAACTACAACTGTGTTTTGTTTTCTTAGCCCTCACACCGGGTGGCAGTATTACCAGTCCAATGTACCCAAGATTCCCACAGCTTGCATTTCAGTTGAAGATGCTGAAATGATGGCACGGATCTCTTCCCAGGGCACCAAGATTATTGTGAAACTCAAGATGGGAGCCAAGACCTATCCAGATGCTAATTCCTTTAATAATGTGGCAGAAATAGTTGGGAGCAAGTACCCAGACCAGGTAAGTGAGAATTCCCTAAGAGAGAATACATCTTGTTTGAAAATTCACTTTAATTGACTTACCACTAATGTCTATACATCTTGGTGTTTATATTCACTTTCATGGCATATCCTAGTATAACGAAGAACTTGCTACAAGTGCACAAAAACTACTCTGTTCCAAAGGGA